CCCCCCCCCCCCCCCAGCCTCTGAAGCGGCTGCAGCCCCAGGGCTGGCAGGCTGCAGCCATGCCGCTCGGCCCCGCCCCTCAGAGCAGGCTGTGGCCGCACCGCCCGGCCCGGCAGACCATGCTGTGGCCACGCCGCCCGGTCCAGCCCGCTGGAACATGCTGTGGCTGCGTCGCCCGGTCTGGCCCGCCAGAGCAGGATGCGGCCATGCCGCCAGGTGTGCTGGAGCAGCTTCAGCCAGGCCAGAGACATCCTCCCCTGGCCCTTCCCAGATAAGGTGGGAAGGGATGGGACAGGGAGAACGTGGGAGTCCCAGGCTAGGAGTGGGGGGGGTCATGTGGAGTGTGGTCACAGGGGTTACTCCCCTGACCCCCCAGCTTCTCCCCCCCCCCCAAAAAAAATTTCCCCACCAATTGCTGTCCCCCAATGCAGGCACAGCTGTAAGGCTGTCTTTCAAGAACCCCTTGCAAAACCTGATACAGGAGGTATGTTGGAGGTGGGACTGTACCATGCAGAACTTCAGAGACTCTGGGCAGTGCTGCCTCCCAAAGGACAGCCCAGGGAGGTGGTGTTGGACCCCAGGGTCATCTAAGTTCTAAGGGCTTTTCCAGGGCCTAGAGCAGCCAAGGATTGGAATGGAGCTAAGGTGCTGTCTAGCTACATTAACCCACCAAGTTCTGTTCTTCACCTCTTAAAATAATCCAATGATTTTTACAAAAAGTGCCATGGAATCTTTAATGATTACAAAGGGTTAAAAGCTCATTTCTACATCTCACTGGAAAGTCAGCAGCTGAATGACTCCGAGCACTGCTATGACACTCTCTACCTTAAAGTAGCACCCTGGAACCACCATATTCACCAGGGTGATACGAGTATGATATGTTTTGTATAAAGTATATATTGTGAGGTATCATTTTAAAAGTCTTGATCTGTTGAATATTAATATCCTGTTGGATTGTATGTACTATCATTGTATGTGAAGTTATGAACCATTACTGTTTGTGTTACTGAAATACATTGTGAGGTTGGGAACACCCACAACCATCCTTTCAGTTACACAGGAGTAGGCATCAATAGTCAGACAGCGTTAATGGCTCATCAACACCCATCAAGAAAAGAATCCACTATCCTAGAGACTTCTCAGAGAGTAACTCACATCACAGCAAAGATCTTTCCGGCAAGCTGAAAGGAAATACAAGAGAGACAGTGACATCATCACTTGGCCACTCCCTGCCCGCAACGCAACACCTGGAAGACAAAGACTTTCAACTGCAGAAGAGTAGTCCCAGTCTGTGTATTGAGGATTTGTAATCTGCTTGTACCATCTGTCAGGGTGAGACACTGCTTGATTCAAATCCTGCTTAGTTTGTAGAACTTAGACTGTGAATTTATTTTTGTTTCTTAAGTAGCCAACTCTGATCTCTATGCCTACTACTTATAAATCACTTAAAAAAAATCTATCTTTCTGTAGTTAATAAACCTGTTTTATATTTTACCTAAAACAGTGTGTTTTGGTTGAAGTGCTTGTGAAATCTCAGTTTACAAAGGCTAGTGTGAGTCCATTGCACATTGAGGGAGTGGCGAACTACTTAACTTACACTGGCCAGGCTTTTGACCAGTGCAAGACAATACAATTCTGGGGTGCAAAGCTGGGGGGAATTGGCTGGAGCCTCACTATTGATGGTTCATGAGTGGCTGGAAGATCATTCATGTAACACAGTTGGGTGTGTCCCTGCCCATGGATGTCTGTGTAAGTGCAGTGCCTATCAGAGGTTTGTAGCTTGACATCAGCACCACAGTGTGAGAGGCATCCCAGGCTGGTGGGTTTGAAGGGCTCAGCAGTCATACAGTCCAGGTTGTACACCGGGGACCCAGTCACAGCCACACACTGAGGCATTGATTCAGTAATGATTCAGAAGTGAGAGTACCACTCAGTGAATCACCAGCACCACTTGCTGCAGTACTCAGTGAAAAGTTCCATATCTAATATACTTACTTCCCCCAGTTATGGGTTTTCAGTTACAGTACAAGAAAGATTCTTTCCCCCCATCCCTTTAGTACAAGTTTCATATATGCGGGAAGACTGGGAGGGGAAGAAGGGTCCTCTACCTCCCTCGGGGACCCTAGAGCAACCCTCAGTGGGTATGTCTAAACTGGGAAAATATGTGACATTTTAAAATGTGTGAACTAATACATGTTGATTAACACAAAATTTTAAACACCACTTATAACGTAAGAGAGATATGGTTTAACACTTTTAAAAAGTGTGTTAGCTGGTCTTGGTCAGCCCTACGCTCCTCCTACCCCACCTCACTGCCACCTTGGGTTGACCAGGACCATTTAATACCATTTTTTAAGGAGTAACACCCTGTTTACCCTAGGCACTAAGTGGTATTTAAAAGCATGTCGGTTAAAACATATTAGCTAGCAACTTCTAAAACATCACCTATTTTTCTGGTCTAAATAGAGCCATTGTAACCACCATCCTTCTGGCAAAATCACCCTCCTTCACTGTAACTCATCATTGCTCCCCTTTAATCAGTCATAGGGGCATCTGCAGCTAAGCCATGCAAGATGTAGCAGCACTCATCTTACTTTTGCTCTCCAACCTGCCACCCAGGAAAAGTTTTAAAGTTTCATTACCATCATTATTTGTTTTGTGGCATGTCTCCCATGGAGCCCCAACCATGGATGAGGGCCACACTATGCTGGGCACGCTACAAATACCAAATCATACTATTTTTCCAGTCCTCGCTATTTTTTGGTGCTCTCTAAATTTGAAAAAACAACAAACCACTTAACTTACCTTGCTGTGGAGTTTTTGAGCATCATAACGGATTTGAGTGAACTCACGGAGACCAAAGGACCCACCAATAATCAGGAGCTGAAATATTAAACAAAGAAAGAGCACTCACTAAAAAGACAGCACAGTACAACACACACTGGACTACTACAAGAGAACACTGACCTGCACCCATTGCAAGTGTCAGGAGGCCTCACATTCTTCCCAAGGCAGAATAAAAGACAAGGGGTGCATCACCTGATAAGCGGGGTCATCAGAGCTTCCATCCATGATAGTCTGTCTATGGATCTCACCAAATTTCTAATTTATGCAGAAAGGACTGTAGGGGGACTCCGATTTTCTCAGTGCCTGTTCCCTCCCCATCTTTCACCCTTACAATCTTCATATATAAATTGTTTTTCAAATGGCTCCTTGATTTGTTAGCAGCAGAGGACACTGCTACTGGATTTCTTCTCACTATTTTCATACAAATGACAGGGAAGTATGAATGCCCAGTTGGTTTATTCTTATGCCTGGGCATAAAAGGACCCAATTAAGTTTCTGGAACAAACAAGCAAGATTGGAACAATGGTCCTGTCGTCATTTATGATGTTGCTGAAGAAATCAAACCCACTGCACTTGTATCTTCATTATTGTCCCATTTATTTTGTTGGAGCTCCCTCCACACCACTGAAGCTTATGGAAAGGAATAATAAAGGAAGAAATAGGCAAGGCAGAGTCTCATGTCAGCATGAAGAAAATCATGAAATGATTTGTTTTTACGACAGGCAGAGAGACGTCACAAAGTGTAAACATCTATTTTAACCTTTAGAGAGCCCTGCCATACTCAGACAAACCTAAAGATCAAGTGCACCATTAAGGGCTGGCCAAGTAATCTAGTTGCCACATGGAAGATCAGAGTTCTGACTCTTGCTCTGGCCTGACACACTCCTTCTGCTGTTCTCTGGCAAGGCCCATTGGCTGACATACAGAATGGGAGGGCAACAGGCTTCAAAGAGAGGCATGTCTGAGGAAGGCAATGGGAGGGGGATGTTCTGAGGACCCCAGAAGAAAAACTATCCTGTATTTTCTCTCTCTCTCTCTCCTCACTGCTAGTTAACTCCTTTTCTGCAGGCTGCTGCAATTCACATGGTAGCAGTTCTCCATACAATGCTGGTGTTCAGATGAAATGCATCAGGCTCATAACACAGCACGACAACATGCTGAGTCTCATACTTGTTAAAATCATGCTGCATAGACACGGTTAAAAATGTGTGCCCTTCCTAACTAGCACATTACCCCTGACAGATTATTTCAGTGATGCAGTATTTGTTGTTGTTTTTTTGTTTTTGTTTTTTAATGTGACTTTTCTTCTCAGTTTATTCCTCCTGAAAGGTGCTGGCCAAATTGATTTTCCACTGGAAGAGGTCGGGCTGCCCCACAACAGAAACAGCAATAGGTATAACCTCCCCTCAGAAGCTGAAAGGTGACAGATTGGTAGCACTGGAAACTGAACCCTTATGGATAGCCTTAGAAATGGGCACCCTTTGACAAGTGGCAATGAGTGCTCAAAGGAGTGAAGTCTGCACAGTCTCATTCTATCTTGATCTTTTGGATGTACACCTCTACCTCGATATAACGTGACCTGATATAACATGAATTCAGATACAACGCGGTAAAGCAGTGCTCCCACGGGGCTGCGCACTCCGGTGGATCAAAGCAAGTTCAATATAACGGGTTAAGATTTTTTGGCTCCCGAGGACAGCGTTATATTGAGGTAGAGGTGTACATGACAATTGGAGCCAAATGTAGCAGTGGCTTTGGGGATATGGACACCTACCTGATAGGAACTGGACCCAGAACTACAACTCATTTCACAAAGCCAATCAAAGAACCATCAAGTGGTAGCAAATAATTTTCAGTAGCTAACAACCTGGACCATTATGAACCAAACTGGGCCAGATTTCTGACTCCACCATTCAAGGAAGTGATGATATTGTCGTAGATGCTGGATCAACAAAAACACATACTGCAGAAAGCAGGGATTTACATGGGAAAAGCTTCTGCTCACTAACAAATATTTTGGTAATAAGATCTGAGAAGGAAAAAACAAAAACAAAAACCCAATATGCTGATTCAAAGTGGTTTTAAGATCTGCCTAAATATGGCATGGGTGATTAGTCAGCAAATACATTCATTCTTCTCGTTAAAGTTCAATTGCATGAAGCACTGAGCATCTCACAGGATCAGGCAATAACTCTAACCAAATGTGGTTTGAGTCACAGCATTTATTCTCATTAAAACAAGAATCTCCTTTGAAACTGGTCCTCTTTCATAGAAAATGACTAGTGTGTTAATTAACAGCCCAGTGATTTACCTCACATTCTTAAAGCTCTAATGAACAGACTGCAAGATTGGTTTCAAGAAGTTTATTGCTATCACACACAATAGTTTACCAGCTGGAATCACTCGAACATACAGTATGAAGAATGCAGGTCTGAAGCAGCTGCACTAGAAAAGTATCTGGTACCCAGTTGTCAAACTACTCAGAAATCAATAATTAATCTCGTTAGATCCATTAAGCATTAGTTTGCCCAGCAATGAGCACTCATAAAATTATACTATACAACAGGGGTAAGCAACCTTTCAAAAGTGGTGTGCAGAGTCTTCATTTATTCACTTTAATTTAAGGTTTCGTGTGCCGGTAATACATGTTAACGTTTTTTAGAAGATCTCTCTCTCTCTAAGTCTATATTACATACAACAATAGTTTAGTTATATAAAGTAAACAAGATTTTCAAAATGTTTAAGAAGCTTCCTTTAAAATTAAATTAAAATGCTGATCTTACGCCGCCAGCCTGCTCAGCCCGCTTCCAGCCTGGGGTTCTGTTCACCTAGGCCTGCAGCGGGCTGAGCGGGGCGACTGGAGGTCAGGGCAGAGGGCTGGAGGGGGTGTGGAGGTGCAAGGCACAAGGCTGGGTGTGGAGGGGAGGTCAGGGCAGAAGGCTGGGGTGCTCGGCTCCTGGGGGTGCTCCCAGCCCCCTGCCCTGAGCAGCTCATGGCAGGGGGCTGGGAGGGATATGCCCGGTTCCACCCCCTTCCCCAAGGCCCGTCCCTACCTCTCTCTGCCTCCTCTACGGAGCAGCGAGCACGCTGCCGCTCAGCTCTGCTCTGCTCCGCTCCCCCTCACAAGGGCAGTCTCTGGCA